CACCCTGTGAGGGAGGTGGGGCTGAGAGAGCTCGTCAGAGAACAGCTCTGAGAGAACTTGTGACTGACCCAAGGTCACACCAGCAGCTGCAGGTGGAGGCGTGGGGGAATCAAACCCGGTTCTCCCGGGCTACAGTCCGTGCTCCTGATCACTACACCAAAGTGGCAAAATGAACACGTCAAGCTTGCTTAAACTCTATCACACCCGGGGTCCGGCAAGGTCAGTATTGTCTACTCAGACTGGCAGCAGCTCTCCAGGGTCTCGGGCTGAGGTCTTTCACAACACAACCACAGCCAAATCCTTTAACAGTTTGGTGTTGTGGTTAAGTGTGCTGACTCTAATCTGGGAGAGCCGGGTTTGATTCCCCCACTCCTCCACTTGCACCTGGCTGGATGACCTTGGGCAAGCCGTAGTTCTGACAAGAGCTGTTCTTGAAAAAGAGCAGTTTCTGACAAGAGCTCTCTCAGCCCCACCCACCTCACAGGGTGTCTGTGGTGGGGAGGGGAAGGGAAAGGAGTTTGTAAGCCGCTCTGAGACTCCAAGTCTCTTCTTCTTCTTAACTGGAGATGCCAGGAAGTGCCGGACGACCTGGTTCTGCCACGGAGCCGCGTCCCCTCGAAAGCAGCCATTTCCCCCAGGGCAACTTATCCTGGTCATCAGGAGATGAATTGTAATAGCGGGAGGTCTCCAGGTGCCACCTGAAGGCTGTCAACCCTGTGCACCCTGCCGCCTCTGTGTACCACCACTAGGGCTGCCAAGTCTCGTTGACTCGCGGCGGGGGATCGTCATTCTTTACAGGAGCTCTGCCGCGGGGGACGGCAACAGCCGTTGCACCGCCGTCGCCAGGATGTGCCGCTACGCGTCGCTCTGGCAACGGGGCTGTTTGGAGACCGCAGCCACAAAGAGGAGTTCCAAGAGCCAGTGCCGTCACAAGACACCCGGCCGGGGCAGAAATAGATTCTGGGTCTTGCTGCCCTTGGCTCTTGCCAGGAATATTCTTGTACATATAGAATTCATCCCAGACTTTTCTTTTGCTGGGAACAGGACAAAGGTGGGGATGTAACCATGAAACGCCAGGCCCATGCTGCGGGAAAAACGGCGTCTGGGGCTGGACCCCGCGGCCCCGTCTTAATTGAGAACCGTATTTGCCATTCTTGTTGTGAAAGAGGGACTCCAAAGAGGTGGCGTGGAATAGATGCAACAGGGTCACCAACCTCCAGGCGGGGCCTGGCAGTCCCCGGGATTACAGTTGGTCTCCAGACAACGGAGAGATGTTCCCCTGGAGGAAAGGCATGCTTTGGAGGGCGGGTGAGACCCAGTTTGGTGTAGTGGTTCAGTGTGCGGACTCTAATCTGGGAGAACCGGGTTTGATTCCCCACTCCTCCACTTGCACCTGGCTGGATGACCCTGAGTCAGTCACAAGCTCTGGCACAGCTGTCCTTGAAAAAGAGCAGTTTGTGTCAGAGTTCTCTCAGCCCCACCTACCTCACAGGGTGTCTGTTGTGGGGAAGGGGAAGGGAAAGGAGTTTGTAAGCCGCTCTGAGACTCCAAGTGAAGGGCGGGGTATAAATCGAATCTCTTCTTCTTCTTCTTCTCTGTGACCTGACACTCCTCTGTTTGGTGTAGTGGTTAGGAGCACGGACTCTAATCTGGGAGAACCGGGTTTGATTCCCTGCTTTTCGACAGGCAGCTGCTGGTGTGACTTTGGGTCAGTCACATGTTCTCTCGGAGCTGTTTCCTCAAGACAATCCTCAAAAAGAGCTCTCTCAGCCCCACCTGCCTCACAGGGTGTCTGTTGTGGGGAGGGGGAAGGAAAGGAGGTTGTAAGCCATTCTGAGACTCCTTCAAGTAGTGAAGGGTGGGGTAAAAATCCAATCTCCTCCTCCTTCTCCTCCTTCTCCTCCTCCTCCTCCTCCTTCTTCTCTGCAGTCCCTCCGCTCCCCTCCCCAAACCCTCCCCTCCCCGGGCTCCCCCCCCAAATCTCCAGGAATCTCCCAATGTGTGCTCGCCGAAGGGGAGGGAGAGCGAATCCCGGGGAGGTGAAAAGGGACCGATGCGCTCTTGTGCCGCCCTAGAAGAGGACTTCTAATCACTCCATCAGTAATTACAAAGAAGAGTAAATCGCTAATTAAAATGTGAAAGTGTCTTGGCGCGGCACGCAGTCAGGAAAGGGTAATTAACAATCAAACAGGAAGCCGCCACCTTGACACCCACATGATGCGAACCGAGATACAGGAAATCGTGGCCGTGGTCCGGCTCTTTCCTTCCCCGCTCTTGTTTCAAACGGATCTGAGGGCCGTTTCTCAAGGCGGAGTGAGCCTGCGACATTCATTGTGGGGGGAGATCTTCTGCTTGGCAACCCCGACCAATTAGAAGTTGCAGGCGAGAAGACATTAAGGTGGCCACCAGTGTTCCCTCTAAGTTGAGTGAGTCTGAGCCAGCTCACAGTTTTTTAGCCTCCAGCTCACACATTTTTGCCTTAGCTCAAGAAGGAGGGCTCCAGAGCAAACTAATTCAGTCAGGAGACAAATCGCTGGCTCACAACTTTAAGGCCAGCAGCTCACAAAGTAGAATTCTTGGTCACAAGACGCCACAGCTTAGAGGGACCATTGGACTGGCCACCATGTCCTAGAACAGTGGTGGCGAACCTATGGCACGGGTGCCAGAGGTGGCACTCAGATCCCTCTCTGTGGGCACGCGTGCCATCGCCCCAGCCAGGCCCAGACCATCATTAAAAGAGTCGAATTCTCTACCAAATAGTTTTAAGTAAATGAAAGCATTTGGGATTGCTTTCCTTACTTTGTTTGGATCATCTTAAGTTAACGTATGAGTGGTTTTTTCTAAAGTAAAACCTCAGTATTCAGGTTAAATTGCCGTGTTGGCACTTTGCGATGAATAAGTGGGTTTTGGGTCGCAGTTTGGGCACTCGGTCTCTAAAAGGTTTGCCATCACTGCCCTAGAATCAGAGAATCATAAAGTTGGAAGGGACCTCCAGGGTCATCTTATACTGTACTGCCTTCTGACACACTTCCGGTGATGTCAGGGGGCGTGGCATATGCAAATAAGTTATGCTAATGAGTTATGCTAATGAACCCCTGCACCTTTTTTTCTACGAAATGACCCCTGGGGCTACCTATCTTGATCTTTCTTCTGGACGTTCGGCCCTGTTGCTCAGTAAGCCAATGCTTTATCCTGTTTCTGATGTAATCTTTGAAAAAAATAGAGACCACGGTGGGGGGAGTAATTCGGGACACTGCCAAAATTCACTGTTGGGGAAAGTATGCCAACTTAAGTACACTCGGGCGGCTTGCCATGTTTATTTCCGATCAGCCGTCGTTAGGAATGGTCACATCAGTCTCACATAGAGGACATTTCTGTGAAAGCATGCACAGGAAAAAACACACACGGGTGGTAACAGCTGGTATTTACTGCATAGGGCAAGAAGTCGGAAAACAAACAGGGCCCCCTTACCGGAGAACAAAAGCGGTTCCCAAACTGGGTAAATCCCAGCAGTCACCACAGGGGGGCAGATTCAAGAGGAATATTTATTATTTTGAATGGAAAAGTCAGGCCTGAGAGGAGCTCTCCCACCGAATGTAAAATCAGCGCGATTCTTTTGTTGGGAGAAGATCGGAATTGTGAGGGTTGTGCGGGTGGGTGGGACATACCAACAGCCCGTCGAACATAATGGAAGAACACTGAAGAAAGGGGGAAATGCCAAGATCTGCTAGACCTCAGGTTCATCAGGCATGAGATATTTTGGATGCATTTGAATACATCGCTCTCTCTTCCCCCTGGTATAGCCCAACATAGAGTTTTCCCCTCAAATGGCTGTGGCCCCGCCCCCAGCGTGCCCGGCATCATACGTCACATCCGGCTGACGTGGACGCCGGAGTGGGGTTTCCCCCGGGGCCCGATTCTGCGGCGTCAGAAATCGGGCCTCCAAAGTGGGGGGAAATCCGCCCCCCGGGGGGATTTGGCAGCCCTATTACGCCGGCCAGGAATCACGTATGGGATATGATGACATTACGATGCCAGGTTGCCAATCAAATTTTGCTGGCTGCTGGTCAGTCGCGGCCATGGGAGTAGAGGGGACTGTTAGGTACGGAGAGTCAACAACAGCAGAGTTAGAGGCAATCAAGCAGACACGTGCGTATCTGTCTATAAAAAGAAACTTTACTAAAGTCAGGGGTACTTGGAGAACCAAAGTAAAATAAATCATCCTTACTAGCTGTAAGCGACGTGTTCCTTCTCTGTGAAACTTAACTCGAGACTCCGAGAGAAAACCTTTAAGGAGGGGGATGACAAAGAGCCATAAGCTGAAACCCTCTTCTCACTCCCTTGGCTCATCCTCAAACTATTGATTCTCCAGTTGGAAAATCTGAATACTAGCTTATGCAGGGCTTTTTTGTAGAAAAAGCCCAGCAGGAACTCATTAGCATAATAGGCCACACCCAACAGCAGAAACTCATTAGCCTATTAGCTCACACCCTGATAGCACATCACATTAGCATATTAGGCCACACCCCCATGTACCAGAAGTGTGGTCATCCAGCCACACCCACCTTTTGCTTCTTATTCTATTTACTTTGTTTATTGTCAAAAGCCAGGGCTTTTTTTTGTAGCAGGAACTCCTTTGCATGTTAGGCCACACACCCCTAATGTAGCCAATCCTAATGAGTTTCTGCCATTGGGTGTGGCCTATTATGCTAATTAGTTCCTGCTGGGCGTGGCCAACGTGGGAGCCAGCGGGAACTCCGTTCCTGTGTGTTCCTGCCCAAAAATAGCCCTGAGCGTATGCATTCTATCCCCTTGCTGTCGTGGGAAAAATAAGACAACTCTATGGGATCTCTGACTAGAAATTAGCATGCCTAACCAACAGGAAACGCTTTCATGACAAACAGGAAGAGAGCTCGCAGATACCCCAAGCAGTGACCCCTTGCCGGGAGCTGCCCGGCCAGTGAATGCGTGATATTTTTTCCCTGTTCTCTTTGTTCCAGCTGATGCAGCAGCAGGCAGCCATCATGGCGTCCGTGGCCCAAGGCGGGTACCTAAATCCCATGGCGGCGTTCGCAGCGGCTCAGATGCAGCAGATGGCAGCCCTGAACATGAATGGTCTTGCCGCCACGCCCATGACACCGACCTCAGGTAAGGCCCATCACTAGGGTGGCCAGCCCGGAGATCTCCCAGAATTACAACTGATCTCCAGATAACGGACATCCGTTCCCCTGAAGAAAATGGCGGCTTTGGAGAGTGGACTCTAGGGCATGGTACCCTGTGGAGGTCCGTCCCCAAACCCTGCCTCCAGGCTCCAACCCCAAATCTCCAGGAATTTCCTAGTTTAGAGATGCCAATCTCCGTCTACCACTTGTGATTGGTTGCTGTTATTTTAGTGTATTATAGGATTAATGTTTTAACTGTATGGAATGTTTTTATGAATGTTGTTACCTGCCCTGAGCCCTGTAATACAGGGGGGGGGGCTAGAAATCGAACGAATGAACGAACAAATGAATTAACGAACGAACGAACGAATGAACGAACAAATGAACGAACGAACGAATGAATCCTAGGTGGGGCGCACGCCTGACTCTAACTGATCTATAGAATTAATCAACTTCCTTGTGTTTTCTCCTCCCCTCCTCTAGGTGGCAGCACGCCTCCAGGCATCACTGCATCAGCCGTGCCTAGCATCCCTTCTCCTATTGGGGTAAACGGTTTCACTGGTCTACCGCCACAAGCTAACGGGCAGCCCGCTGCAGAAGCTGTCTTTGCCAACGGCATCCATCCTTACCCAGGTATGACAGACCAGCCTGGCATTCGTATTCTTTAGCCTTACCGTTACGCCTACATCATTCTTTATGACCTTTTCAGTGGGCTTGGGTGACGCGCTCCGAGTCACACAGCCTTATGGGCTGACTGAGTTGAGAATAGCCGCTCGCTTTTTCGACAGTTGCCGAAGTGGGTGACAACTTTATTTTACTATTACTGCAAACTCTCCGGAGCTGATTTTGTATCAAAATAAGATGTTGATTGATTGATTGATTGATTGATTGGGTGACAACATGTAATTGGATACAACAGTTCCACTAAAAATTGCAATGATTTATAAAACTAAAACCCATCAAAATTGAGAAAGACAGAATGAGCTGGAAAGAGAAAAGGGGAACAACTCAATAAAGAGAACAACGTACATGAAAGCTTCTACCCAGAGTAAAACTTCGTTGGTCTTAAAGATGCCACTGGACTCAAACATTGTGCTTTTGCTTCAGACCGACACAGCTACCCACCTGAACTCAATAAACAGAATTTGAAAATACTGAACATAACAGGATTGACAGCCACCAGCCGGGAGGGGGGGAGGATCCCTGGGCCCTGCCCCCGCCACCAATCAGCTGGCTAGAACAAATAAATGGATGTACAGCAAAGAAGGCTGTGCGAGTACCAACACAGTGAAAAACTGTAACACTGTGTCTAAATACACTTGTCACTTAGTTCAAAACATTCTTATATTGACAGCGTAATACTCTGAATGACCAATGTAAGTGGTAGGGTTGCCAAGTCTCTTACCTGGCATAGCGAGGGGGACCTGGCCTTGGTCCGGGAGTTTCTATGGTACCATAGAGTTTTCAGGGCGATTGCTAGAGCGTTGCCCAGTGACGTGCCCGGCGTGATGATGTCACTTCATCAACAACAATAACAGGCATTTTACAATCCAAACACCAAAGCAATGCCGGATTGTACCAGTAGAACAGATATCTCCAAAAGACCCAGACTGCACACGCCAGGGGCTCAGACCCCCTTCCCTAACAGATTCCTGACCAATCTGACCTGGAGAAACACACACACACCCCATCCCTTGACCTGATATACATGTTGTTCAGTTAGGGCTGCCAGGTTACCAGTGGGGGAGGGACTCACTAAGAGCGAGAGGCGGGCCTAGGTAGGGCTGCTGGGTCCCCCGGAGCCCCCAGTGGGGGATGGGAGACAGGGCTGCCGGATCTAGGTTGGGAAACTCCCGGAGATTGGGGGGGTGGAGCCTGGGGAGGACAGGGATCTCAGTGGGCTACAGTGCCGTGGAGTCCACCCTCCAAAGCATCCCTTTTCTCCGGGGGAAGGGGAGGTCATTTCGGGGGGGAACGCGGGGGAACACAGTTCCCCCGGGTGAGGTGCGGGGGGTGGGGCACACGACGAAGCCCCGCCCCCTGCTTCCGGCCGCCCCGCTTCCGGCCCTCATTCAGTCATGCAGTGCCGTGGTGTCCGCTGTTGCCCAATCAGTGTGGTTTTGTTGAAATCTGCAGAGTCAATCAGATCTCCAGTGGCCAGTCAGAAGCTCTGCTAGCCGAAAGCTCCCTGACCTCGCCCACTTTCTAGAAACACTTGGTGGACGCTAGGACAGGTGTCAGCGGGTGCCCTGGTGCCCGCGGGCTCCACGTTGGGGACCTAAAGCCACGGGCTCCCAAAGCAATTCCAGTCAAACCACAATTTGAGAGCCAAACTAAGATGATGTGGACCGGGCTGCCAGGTCCTCTTGTCGCACCGGCAGGGGGATTTGGGTGGCGTTCCGGGAATGTTTTTGAGCAAAACTCTGTGGTAAAACTGGTGTCAAACCATAGAGATTTGCCCTCACACCAGAGTGTCACTGTGTGACGTCCCCAACATGATGACATCACTTCCGCTGTTTGGGGGTGGGCAGAAGCCCTGAAGACCAGGGGAACCCCCGCCGGGACCTGAGGACTGGCAACTCTAGACGTGCAGAACATAAGAGCGACCTAACGGAGCCTTTAGGAGTGTGTTTTTAAAATATTTTTAAAACTAAAAGCCAGCCATGAAATTGGCCGGCACGGGAGTAACATCGTCGTCTGACCAAAATGGTCCCATTCCACTGCTTTCCAAGCTCCAGAGGGGGAAATGCAGTGTGTCTATGACTTTTCCCCTGTGGGAAATGAGGTGGATCTGAACAGAAAAAAAACCTGGAAATGCCAGAGAAGTTCCCAATGCCTTGTTTTGGAGAGCCAGTGAGCAGGGTATAGTAGCTGGGACATCAGAGGAGGAGGAGGAAGAAGAAGAGGAGATTGGATTTATACCCCGCCCTTAACTACCCAAAGGTGTCTCAGAGCGGCTTACGATCTCCTTTCCCTCCCCCTCCCCACAACAGACACCCTGTGAGGTAGGTGGGGCTGAGAGAGCTCTTGACAGAACCGGCTCTTTTTCAAGAACAGCTCTTATCAGAACCATGGCTTGCCCCAGGTCATCCAGCAGGTGCAAGTGGAGGAGTGGGGAATCAAACCTGGTTCTCCCAGATTAGAGTCCGCGCCAAGGGTCGTTTCGTAGAAAAAGAGCTAGGGGAACTCATTAGCATAACTCATTAGCATATGCCACACCCCCTGACATCACCGGAAGTGTGTCATAAGGCCACACCCCCTGATATCACCAGTAGTGTGTCATAAGGCCACACACCCCGCCCCCAACGGTCCCGGCCGGCGGTGGACCTGCAAGGCCAGCGGGAGTGCGAGGAAGCCCCGCCAAGGCCCTCCCTGGCCCCAGGCAGGTAGGGGTGGGGAGAGGCAGGGAGGAAGCAACTTACCCTCCCTCTTCTCCTGCCTCCTCCTGGCTGAATGAGGGCAGGAAGCGGGGCGGCCGGAAGCAGGGGGCGGGGCTTCATCATGTGCCCCGCCCCCCGTACCTCACCCAGGGGAACTGCGATCCCCCGCGTTCCCCCCCGAAATGACCTCTGGTCCGTACACTTAACCACTACACCACACTGGCACTTAACCACTACACCAAACAGGGACCTCCATGCTGAAATAATACCCATTCACTCACTGGCTGAACGTGGGCCAGTTGCCAGCTGAGGGTTGGGAAATCCCTCAAGATTTTGGGGGTGGAGTCGGGTTGCCAGGTCCCCCCGGTCACCAACAGGGGATGGGGGGTAGGTTTATCAGACCCAGGCTTGGTATTCCTGGAGATGTGGGGGATGGAGCCTGGGGAGGACAGGGACCTCAGTGGGAGACAATGCCACAGAGTCCACCCTCCGAAGCATCCATGTTCAATAGTCTAGAGATGTGGTAGTCTAGAGATGAGCTGTAATTTCGGGGGGATCCCCAGGCCCCACCTGGAGTCTGGGGTCCCTAAGGTGGAGCTGGGGGAGGGAGAGCTTTAAAGATGGGAAGGTCCTCGGCGGGGTATAATACCAAACAATCCACCTTCCAAGGCAGCCATTTTCTCCAGGGGAACCAATCTCTGTCATCTGGAGTCCAGGTCTAGTTCTGGGATCTCTCCAGCCGCCGCCTGGAGGCTGGCAACCCTACGAAATGCCAAAGGGACGAATTCACCACCAATCTTTTCTCACCCTTTCCCCCCAGTCCCAGCCCTTGAGGAACCAAACCCGGCAGCCCCAACAGCCGACGGCCGCGGGCGCCATTTTCTGCCGCCTCAGCTCGTCCGTTTCCCGTTGTTGCCGTTATTGTTGTGTCTGAATGCCTAATTAATTACAACAGTAAACGCGCACTTCTTTAATCACTGCATCAGCTGTCCTAATCAATCTTCATAATACGGAATCCGGAGTTTGGCACCCATGAATTTTAATCTACATAAATTTCATAGGGCCTCTCGCAAAGCTTGTTGTACCAAATGATATAATTATGGATATAGATTAGGCTTGGGGAGAGTGATTTAAATTGGATTTAAGCAGAAGGTGACGCCGGCCCTCCCCCTCACTCCGTTATTTATTTATTTTGATCCTGACCTTGCAGATGTGGCTTCCGGGGATCTCGCGGCCACCCACAGGCCGCTATCGGCACACCAGAACTGCCTGGAACTTGGAAATCATAATGACCCAGCTGTGGAGTTGCTGGGCATCAGTCGGCAACCTCTGGGAGAAATTGGGGGGTGGAGGACCTCAGTAGATGCTCAAAAATTTACACAGACTCTATGGTTTTACAATACAGTTTTTGTACATTCTAAAGCATCCATTATGTGACCTTCTTTTTTTACTAGAAGTGACATTGGTGCACAATCCAGCAACCCCTGGGGGAAAAATGGTGGGGATATAAAAGGACACTCTACAATTTATACACATTCTATGGTTTTACCATAGAGGTTTTGTTTGTTTTTTAATTCTAGAGCAGGGGTGTCAAACTCTTTTGTTATGAGGGCCAAATCTGACACGAGTGTCATAAAATGTAATGCCAGGTAGCATACTCGAGATTGCAACAGCACAGACATTTTAATGCAATAACTCAGAGCAAGAGGTGTCAGTTATCAGACACTGTTAAATAAACAAAATATTGCACGAGTACTAATGTTTTAAGCATGTTTTTATTTTAAGTTAAAAAAAACACCCCTTTGTGTTTGTGTCCTTTATAAAGTTGATATCTCCGCTACCTGGCATTACATTTTATGGCACACACGGCCCGGCCCAACAAGGTCTCACTTATGTCAGATCTGGCCCTCGTGACAAATGAGTTCGACGCCCCTGCTCTAAAGCAGCCATTTTCTCCAGGGGAACTGAGCTCTGTCACCTGGAGATGTGTTGTAACTCGCTGTAATCTCCAGGTGCCACCTAGACTTGGGCAACTCTAGGGTGCCCCCTTTTTAAATACATTGGTACAGTCTATGGGATTGAAGGCTGGCAGTACCTGGACTGGGAAAGACAATTTTAGGGCCTGGTCACACAGAGAATTTGCCCCGCAAAAGGCACGAATGTCAGGCAGATTTTCGGGGCGCGATCACACCGCAACATCTGGGAAGCGTAGCGCACCCGTGGCCAGCCCGTGGCGTCCCGCCGAAGATGCGG